CTTCCTTTATTACATATGTGAGGCGTGTGTCATGCATTTGGTACTTTAACATAGAGCGTGTTTTTTTTTAATTAACATGCGTTCTGTACGCTAGTGTGGAACATGTTATTGCATAAGTTATGTTGTCGTCACATTTGCATAGAAAATGTTCACATAGTGCGTTGTATTGCATTTGCATAGAAAATGTTCGCATATTGCATTGTGCATGCCTTCACGTGCTCTCACGTTTACATTAAAAAATGTTTGTGTATGTTGCCTAGAACATGCGTTTGCTAGTATGGCATAAACTATGCATTTTGGCGTTGCATGGAGCATGCCTCAATTTTTGTTGCATAGGATATGCTTCAGTTTTGTTCCTTGCATGTTATGCATGAAACATCTCCCTAACATATTGTTATGGTTATTCATCTCGCATAGAGTATGCGCCTTTATCATGTTGTATCTATTAAGTCTCTTTCTTATGCAGGTATGATATTGTATGTGTGGTTCATTTAGAGCTGGTGCAACCAGACGATATTTTATGTGCGGTTCATTCAAGGCTGATGCAACCAGACAATATTGTATGTATGGTTCATTTAGAGAAGTTCCAGGTGAGACGGCTTATGTCCTTTGATCTGACCCCTTATTGGTTAGAAACATTCGGGTATGCCCAGTGTTTACACCACTCCTTGTTGGTTAGAAACATTCGGGTACGCCCGATGTTTACACCACTCCTTGTTGGTTAGAATCATTCGGGTACGCCCGGTATTTACACCACTTCTTATTGGTTAGAAGCATTCAGGTACGCCTGGTGTTTACACCACTCCTTGTTGGTTAGAAGCATTTGGACGTGTTCCCGATGCTTATACCATACCTTGCTTTGGTTAGAAGCATTTGGACGTGTTTCCGATGCTTATACCACACCTTGCTTTGGTTAGAAGCACTTGGATGTGTTTCCGATGCTCATACCATACCTTGCTTTGGTTAGAAGCATTTGGACGTGTTCCCGATGCTTATACCACACCTTGCTTTGGTTAGAAGCATTTGAACGTGTGCCCGATGCTTATTTCCCCCTGCTTTGGTTAGAGGCATTTGGGTGCGTCCTGGTGTTCTCACTGATTCTTCTCCTCTCGCGTGTGACGTGTTGGGATGTTTAAGTTTAAAACTTTCAAGTGTGTCCCTGATTCACACCATATTTCTCCTCGCGTGCGCAATGCGTTAGAATCTTGTTTGATATCTCGGGTGTGCCCGATGGTTGTGTTATTCTTTACCTTTCCTGCGTGATGCGTAGTTAAGATTGCATAATTTTCTTACATCCTTTCTGCATGAAATGTGGTTTAGTTCTTATTTGCTTATTTCTTTTCACATGCGAGATTGCTATAGCATTTCTTTGCATAAAATTGGCATCTAGATGTTTCATTACAGCCTTATTACATGATCATAAGTTATGTTGTTGCATCGTGCATATCATTTTGCATCTTGCCCCAAAACTACGTTGGTTTGATTCCTTATAAAGGGATACGTAGACAGCCTGTGGGCACAACCGTTCTTTGTTTTGCTTGTCTGTTTGACCAAGTCTTTGGCCTTGTCAAAATGGGTCGTCTCTAGACTTTGATATTCACTCCCGTCATTTCATGACTTCCGAGTTCTGTCAAAGAGGGATAATTGTAGACACCCCATTTTTGACCGTCCTCGAGACTTGGACATCGTTGTTTGAACACTCGATAATTTTGTATGCTCGTGTTTGTGTTGAGTACCCGAAGATCTTGGCCGAGCGCCTCGTTTTTTAGCCTTCGAACCTTGTTTGTTTTGTGCTTGGTTGTGGACCAAGAGCTTGTTGTTTCAAATTTGAAGGAGAGGGTGGCTTGTCGGCCATGACTTGTGCCTGTCGGCCACCAGTGGTGGCCGGTCAGCTATGTTGTTGGCCGGTCGGCCACCAGTGGTGGCCAACGGCCATTTTTCTCCTTTTTCAGATATTTGTTTGCCAGCTATGCCAGTTGTTGTTCACTGAAGTGCATCTCCATACACGTGTATGGTAGGATGATTTCAAGCCTTAATCTTATTTTTCTATATATAAAGGGTGCTCTCTCCCATTTGGAGGGGTTAGAAAATTTGGGTCAAAATTCTCTCTCTCTCTCTCTCTCTCTCTCTCTAGAATTATCTCTCTCTCTTCTTGTTTTGTGCTTTGTAGTTAGTTTTCTCTACACCTTTGCACACTAACCCTTAACCAAACTTGACCACCTTGGAGCTGGGGTCCCTTGGAGCCTAGTTTGAGCTTTGAAAGGAGGTTTGAGCCTGAAATTGTGGCTGTTTTGTGTTGTGCTTCAAAGGCAGAGAACCTACCCCATTTAAGCTTGTTGTACACACTTGTTTTGCCATCCTTTTATACTGTTTTTAAGCTAGTTTTTAACTACAAAAAACTCTAGTTTCTGAGGCTTAACATGATGGTTTTAGGCTATTTTGTGTTAAGGGGTGAGCCACCATTCTTGTTGCTTAATTATGTGAGCTTTTGTGCCATCTTTCAAGGCTTTCAAGTCAAACTTTTTGGGCCTTTAAACCACTGAAATTCAGAGTTATTTCAGTGGTAAAAACCTCATTTTGAAGTCCAAAATTGGAGGGGGTAGCCTCTCCCTCCTTGTGTCTTGTTTGCATGCTTAGATAGCTTAACATGTGAACATATTTTTCTAGCATTTTGTACCTTAATCTTAGCGTGTTTTTGCTACTGTTTTGACTGGTTTCAACTTTGTTTTGAGCCGGTTTGGTCCTTTGAGGCTTGTATTGTGTGGTTGTAGTGTAAAAAGGCTTTTTAGCATGAATTACATGAGTTGCTTGCATATTTTAGTGTCATTTTGTACTCCATTTCAGCACTGAATTCTCTGCAATTTCCCTCTATTCTTCAATCTTTCATCTATTTTGAAAGGGGCTTTGAACCCCTTGTTGGCTTGAATGTGAAATTGAGACACTCGTGCTTAATGGTTTCAATTCTCTTTTAAGAGTTTCTACTAACCAACGGCATGAGGTCTCTTTCCTGCTCAATGCACTTGTGGTTTAAGCCATCTTTTCATTTGAGGACACTCAACTTTTGGACTAATCAATTAAAGAATGGATTGGTAAGCTAAAATGAGTAAATAAAAATGAGCAAGTAAAAGAAGCAAGATAAGTATCTTTCATTTGCATTGCATGTGTTCGGATCGGACGTTAATTCGAACACGAGAAAAATGGGACGTTTTATACTCAAAGTGATAAAATATGCCACTTTTCTTGGTCACCATCACCCTTGATCATGCATGATAGGGTGGTGGTTTTGTTGAGTCATGTTTTGCACTCATTAAGCTTGTACAAGCTTGGTTCTTTGGCCATCATGCATGAAAATTGCTTGGTTGATGGCTTCAGAGCCAAGAACTACACTCATTTGAGCTTGTGTGATGATAAGGAGGGTAGCAGTACATACGCTCCTTGAGAATACATTGTTTTACCTCTGTTTGTTCTCTGTTATAGCAAAAAAAGAAGTTCAGGGAAAGGGTGGTTGACCGGCCACCAGAAGTAGCCGACCGACCACCAATGGTAGCCGACCGGCCATTCTGTGTGCTCCTAAAGGAGATCAGAAGTGTTCTGGAAGTTGGTGCAATTTTCAGTGTTCAAACAAGTACAAACAGAGGTGTCCGATGGCAAGGCAATTTTCATTAGTGATAGCTAATTTACTTGTTTTGTAATTAGTTAGTTAAAGTGTTTAGCTAATTAATTTATTTTTTAATATGTAATTAGCTTAGAATAATTAGTTAATTGTGTTGTAATAATTAGCGTAACTAGTTAGCTTATTTATTCGGACCTTCCTTCGCGAGAGCGTAATGTTGTAATAAGTGTGCATGCTTGCATGCGTGTATGTATGTCTTCCAACCCCACGTCTTTCTTCATTTTATTTAATCGCTTTCGATGGTTAGATTAGGGACATTTTCAATTAGCATACCTTATGTTTGCATGATTGCATCTATTCGTTTGTCTTGCATGCACCGAGGCTCGGCGCATTATTCAAACTGTATTGTTATTTCAATATCTTATTTGAATACGTGTTTAATCGCATGTTGTTCAAATCAATTCATATGCCATAATTAGTAGCCAAGCCTACTAATTGCATTATTGTATGTGTTGCATTAGATATCTTGCATAGTTAGGATCATGCATTTTTCTAACTAATTTTTGTTTTGATTTAGCGTACTCTATGAGTTTTATACTTTAGCATACTTGCATGAGTGTGATTGCCATATTGCCATGTTTCGCATGCTTGCCATAAGGCTATGTGCTTAAATGCTAAACTGCATGAATGCCTCTAGATGAAGGCTTCTTGTTTGAATTGGAACAATTCAACAAATGTGTGTTTTAAGCCCACTTTGTTGTGGCAAATTATATTTTAAGCCCCCTATATTTGGTAGCAAATCTACATTTTTAAACCCACTTGAGAGTGGCAAATTCAAATCATTTTCGAAAACAAACGTGAGTTGAATTGTTCCAAATCTTGTGACTAGTCTATACTTGCTTGTGCGCATCACATAATAAGGTTACATTAATAACCGTAATAAGAACGCATAATGTTTATAAAATGACATATCATGATTAGTAGAGGCCGATCTTTGATCGGGCGAGCGAGGGTGCTCATTTCAAGACCTTCCCCTCTCGTACCCAAATTCCCGAGCCGAGACAATTTTAGTGATGATGGACACGTGCCCTTGACACGAGTCAGGATTTCATAAATTTTCTCAAAAAATAAAATATTTAAGTGACGACTCTGTATCTGACAAAATAGTCCAATTTTGACATTATTTAATTTTAAAATCAATTTTTCAAAAAATTTACCGAATTTGGACTCTTTAGTGTTTATCAGTTTCATATTGTACTTGTAATACTAGATTCAAAACTCCAAGAGTCCCAACTGTGAGGCCTTTCTTTTCAAACCCTTTCTGAAAGGCGGGACGCGAGAAAAAGGCGAGTCCACACTAGGTACTATATTGATTTTCGCGTAATAATTTAATAAGTAAAATGATATTTTCTCTTGATTTTTATATTAATTTTAAAATGAAAAACGACTCATTAATAACATTCACAAAAATTACAAAGCCATAAAAAAATACATAACAACATGACGGGGCAAATTCTTGCGACAAAAGTCAACTAGGCAATCATCATCCTCTTTGTTAATATCATCAAGCATACCAATAAGCATCATCCTCCTCTTTGTTAATATCACCAAGAATAACAATAAGAGCCGCAATGAATGCATAATCAATATGAGGATACACCGTCACCGTGAACCTATCCTTCCCAAACAAGATGCTTCCAGCGGTGTATTTCTGGTGCATCTGCATTGCAACAATCACCAAAGTCAATGAATTCAGTTCTATGCACACTACAACAAAATTGGCAGCAATCTCTTTGTTTATGTTTACTTTTGAGGAGTATATTTTACTTGAGCGACAATGGTGGATGATTCGCCAGCATAAATGACACAGGACCTCTGGAACAAGCTTCCCTCAACCCTGAAATCACGAACCTCCTCGGCTGTGTTGTTTGCTAAGTACACGTTTAATTTGGTCTTGAGTTGGAAGACCGAAGATCTTTTAACACTAAAGATCAGATCCGCAGGGTCTTTGCTCTCCTCCCTAAACACTTGCCATCTGTTATGCATAGTCATTATCTGCATTCACCAAAACATTATTAAAGGTTCTATTCAAAGATGTGCACATCAAGAGCATATGACAAACAGTTTATATATACACTGAAGAATAACACAAATAACAATTTCGTATAAATGAATTGAATTTAATTACCTTCTGCTGTAAAGTAACAATAGGATTTCCAGCAGGATCCAGTAAGGTGCATCGATCATGAAGGGCTAATATGCGGCCTTTAACTTTAAACAGAATGTTATCGTTCATATCTGTAATGGTAAAATTACTATCTGTTATGGTCAAGACCTTTCTGACGATGTCAAGATCAACAGGATAAGGAAGGCAATACTGAGGACCTATGACCCAAACAGGATTAGCTATGGGTAAATAATAGCTTGGTTGTGCCATATAGCTTGCAGATGAAGAACCTCTGTTTAGAGTTATGGTTAGAGGTCCTTGAGTGAGGTTCTTACAGCTTGCGGATGAATTCAACGACTCCCTGTTGCATGTGTGTACAGATTTTTTTTATTGTTTTCGTTGTTTGGTGTCCTAATCAATATGATATAGATCAGAAAAAAGTCGTATCTTGACAGCATACTTACAATTAATTATTCCAGGGACCAAGTCAAAGTAGCAAGCCAAGGATGAAAGAATAAAAAATTAAAGTTGCTTTGGTTGGTGTCACTTGCTTAATCCAGATCAAACTGCTAAGACCAGATCAAACTGGTTATGCTCGAGCTCCTGCATAAAATCGGTCGAAATTTTGATGATTGGTCTCAAATTTGACCAATTTGGCCTTGTTCATAGAGGAGAAGAAATAAACAAGTTCCAACTCTCACAATTCTGAGTAAAATGACAAAATAAAACTTCCATCAGGCTTATCCTCCCTCATCAGAAACTGAACTCAAACCTCCCTGTTTCAACTACTCTTCCCAAATCTCAAAATTAAATCATTAATTTCTGCAAAAGTTGATAATTTTGAAATTGTAATTGTACCCAATAATACAACACAAAAAGATATGCCAAAGTCATAAAACAATCTACGACATTCACAAAAATCATCAAATTGCTACGCCTCCCCTACAATGGCATCAAAGAGTACCTGCAAAAGCATTGAATAGGGAGCAATTGGAATATAATGGGAACACTCAAATCGTCTTTTTAGTACTAAGAATCTCCAACGCTCAAAAAATCATCTGTAAGTACTAAGAGTTGAAGGAAACTTTCTTCTGTATTGTTCTTGTTCTTTTTGAACATGGTAGAGAGGGGGAAGAGGTTGTTAGGACTCAAACACCAATGTCATGAACAAGCCCACAATGCCCCTTCATCTTGGCCGAGCTGGTGAACTCAGAACTACCCTCCCTCATCAGAAACTGAACTCAAACCTCCCTGTTTCAACTACTGTACCCAAATCTCAAAATTAAATCATCAATCTCTGCAAAAGTGAATAATTTTGAAATTGTAATTGTATCCAACAATACAAGACAAAATCATTTCAAAATAATCTCAAACTAAACTGCATTTGAGCAATGAGTATGTGCGGATCAAAACTTGTTCACACACAAAATTGTCACTTTTATTTATGTAAGCCCTCCAGAAATTCTAGGAATCATCATAATGAGTGGCACATTAGTAAACCACATTTAGTGATTCTAGTAATGTAAACAGGAATGATTCTAGTAATGTAAACAGGAGGTACTTCACTTGAGGTGATTTCAATCTTCTCTGTCCTCATTGATCTCTTCAAGAACAACCACAAGAGAAACTATGAAGGCGTAGTCCACGTTTGGATACACAGTCACCACAAACGTATCTTTTCCAAGAACAACGCTTTGAACACTGTGTTTTCTGTGCATCTGCAATTAAACAATCATCAAGAAAAACAACCCCTTTAAACATATATGATAGGGATCAACTACTTGGGTGCCATTTGGTTGTCTCAGAAACATGAATTAAGCCATTTTAAATTATATATTTTTTGTAATCAAATCATTAGGGTCCATTTCATTAACAAGATAGTGATGGAAAATGCAAGAGAACAGAAAACAAACAAACAAACAAACAAACAAACTTTTTAGTGTATGCTAAGCAAAAGAATTCTGAAAGCAAGTGTTGAAAAATGAAATATTTCATACAATCTTAAATTTTTGAACACAGGTTTTGGTTTCCCACAAAATTTGCATGGAATTTTCTTTCTTGGTAAAGTGGGGAACGATTTTCATGTTTTTCAAATTTGCCCATAGTTTTAATGAAGACAATTACGTATAATCGAAGAATTTTCTTACAACTTCATACTTTTCAAACTAGAAAACCAAAATTTCAAATAATTTTTCTTGAAATTTTTTCATCCTAATCAAATGCAGGCAAAAAATTAATTTCTTCTTTCTCCTTTCTTTCATTTCACTTTCTAACAATTTCACTTTCAATCATCATTTCATTTCTAATCAGACAAACCCTTATGATGGATTTAGTTGTAAAACTGACACAGCTCAAAAATATATATTCATTTGATAAACATTAAGTAGGTTTTATTTCTTTTAAAAAACATTGAATTGCTTAATCTAAATTTGGGAGATTGAAATCTGTTTTGAGTAACCCCAACTGACTAATTTAAAATAAAACAATTCATGCAACCAAACAAGGCATTAGATGGGTTTGATCTAAGACAAATTCACCTGGGCAATGATGGTTGGAGTATTTCCAAGATGTATGGCACATGATCTCTCAAGCCAACTTCCCTTAACCTTGAAATCACAAACTTCTTCTTTAGTATTGGCAGCCAAGAACACATCTAATTCGGTCTTGAATTGGATAAGTGACGACTTCTTAACACTGAAAAGCAGATCTTTGGGGTCTGAGCTCTGTCCCCTGAACACTTGCCACCTCCTATGTGCAGTCAATATCTGAAAGCCAACGTCAACAAAATTGAAATATACCATTGCTTCTTTTTTTTTTTCCGTTCTTTTGGGATAAGTAAATGTTTTTTTTATTATAATATTGCTCAATGTTCAAGACACAATCCAAGGGGGCAGAGCAACACAATATGAATACAAACTCTAGCTCAAAGAGGAAACAAAATCAAGAACTAGACCAAAAACCAAGAATCAATGTCTGAATTAATAAAAAGAAATAGCTTCTCCAAACAAGGCTTTTCTTATACCAAATCTTACTTTTGTCACTTTAACTTCTAATAATTGTAATAGTCAACTTTTCATGCTTGGATAAGTCTCAATACCACCCTTCCATCAACCCCAAGCGATTGGCCTAGCGGTAAAAACTTGAGGATAAAATACAAGCTCTCGAGTTCAAGTCACCCAAGATTTGCCCAATCATTAACTTTAAGGCCCCGAATTAGTGGAGGTGCATGGAAATAATACAAATTTCAGTAATTTCATTCTTACCTTTTTTTTGTTTTTCGTTGGGATTGTGAGATGAGAAAATAAAGGAAATGATTGAAGAAAAGAAATGAAATGACTGTGACTTCTCCCCTTCTTATTTGGATGGACAATAACTACAAACAATACATGTGTCTTTTTATTTTATTTGTTTTGTATTCATAGGGGTAGTTTAAGTATCATAATTTTTCTGTAAGAGCAAAAGCTTAAATTTGGTGTGATTTGTCTTTCTCACCATTATTCACTTCATTAATCATCCAAACAAGTGAAGTGAAACCTAATTCTCTCCATTTCTCTTCTTTTCTTGTCAAACCCCTCAATCAAAACGGATTAGCGTCTTCATCACCAAATCATGATATTTAATGGGTATATATCGAGCTTATACTTAAATTTTAAAAAAAAAAATGTAAATATCATGGTTTAGGGAGATAGACTGCCAAACAAAGCCCTGTTTTAGACTTTCAAATTTTTAAACAAAACCCATTTCATTCAACGTCAAATAGACATACAATTGACAAATGGGTAAGAATTGAGAAAAACCCATTACTTACAATTGAGAAAAAAACCCATTACAATTTGACTATAAACAGGGGATTAAGATCAAATTGACAGATGGGTAAGAATCGAGAAAAACCCATTACAATTTGACAATAAACAGGGGATTAAAGGTTAAAGAACGAAGGAGTGACCTTTTGTTGGAGAGTGAGGATGGGGTTGTCGGCGGAGTCGAGGAGGATTCGGCGGTCGCGGAGGCTAAAAATCTTGCCTTTGATCTTGAACATGATGTTTCCATTGACATCGGTGACTGCGAAGTTGCCCTCTGTTATGGTCAGGAGCTTCCTCACGATGGTTAGATCAACTGGGTACGGTGCGCAATATTGTGGGCTTATCACGGCCACTGGGTTTGCCATCGGCGGGTAGGGGTAGCTAGATTGCGCCTCTGCCATACCAGACCGATCCCCGATTGATCTCTCTCTCTCTCTCTCTCTCTCACACACACACACAGAATGATGATTGAAAAGGACGGCGGCGCTGCCGAAGAGACGGAGATTTGGGTGTGGATCTGTTGTGAAAGGTTTTTTGTGGTCGTGGTGTTCTGGTGCAGAGATTTGTTAGGCGTTTTTGTTTTGCGCGATAGAAGGGAAGGAATTTATAATAAGAGAATTGTTAGTGTGTGAATAATTTTTTTGATTATACTGTCCGTTTAGTAATTAGTTGGAAAAGTATTGGCAGAATAAATAGTTTTAGCTAACCTATAACAAAAAGAAAAGGCTCCGGCGGTGGCTCTTCCACCTTTGCAGTTTCATAACATTCCTTAGAACTGTAAAATTTTACAGTTTCATAACATGTTTTTTAATTTTTTTTTCCGGCAATATTCTAGACATTCCGGTGAGTCTCCGGCGACCGTTAAACGGAAGTCCGACGGTAGTAAGATGTGAACAGTGTCTATAAATTAAAAAAAAAAAAAAAAAGGATTTTTTGGTAACAATTAAAAATGTGTTGGACTAATTGGTGCAAGTATTTTGTTTTGGGATTAATTGGGTTTTGAACTTATTACATGGGACTTATCAGTAAGTTCCCCTTTTTTTTTTTGGTGTGGATCTGTTGTGAAAGGTTTTTTGTGGTCGTGGTGTTCTGGTGCAGAGATTTGTTAGCCTGTGTTTGGCAGGGTTTTTTCAGGTTTTTTTGGTTATTTTAGTCACAAAAAATAAAATAGACTATTTTAGTCATAACAAACAAAACATCACATCCAATCTATAATCATTACATTCTTCTCTCACAAAAAAAGTCAAAAAAGCCAAAAAAATCAAAAAGCCCTTCCCAAACCAGGCTTTTTAGCCCAGGCTAAAATAGTCAAAAAAACCAAAAAGCCAAAAAGCCAACCCACTTCCCAAACAGAGGCTTAGGCGTTTTTGTTTTGCGTGGTAGAATGGAAAGATTTTATAATAAGAGGATTGTTAGTGTGTGGATAATTTTTTGACTATACTGTCCGTTTAGTAATTAGTTAGAAAAGTACTGGCAGAATAGATGGTTTTAGCTAACCTATAACAGAAAGAAAAGGCACCGGCGGTGGCTCTTCCACCCGGGGCACTCCGACGATCAAGTCAGTATATCTCTCAAAGATAATCAAGTGCTAAACTCACAAGCTTAAGCATAAAAAACATACCTTAGACTCATGGGGGTGCCTTTCTTTTATAGCCAACTCAATCATAATCTCAATAGAAGCCTGACTTCTATGGACTCTTATTCAGTGCTTACTTTGGATTTCACAAGAGATAAAAATAAACTCCTTAAGAGCTTTATCATTATCTTAGCAAAGTTTCCTTTTTACTCTAGGACTCTTGCCCCGTATCCATTTATCTCGGATTCCGATATCTTCGGAGATAACCTCGGCCTTGTCGAGATAACCTCTGCGTCACAACCAGGACACATGGCACCTCGGCTGACACGTCGGCGTCACCTTGCCACGTGTTGGTATTCAGAAAATACATCCCCACAACTGCCCCTTTGGTTCTATTACCTCCCTATATTTGTATTTTCTTCCAGTAAATCGATAAAATTTGACAGCCGAGATTATTTATTTCAGACCGACATGCTTTCCCTAAAAAATCGAGATTTTTAAGGACCTTCTCACGCGCATGAGCTGTCATGCACTTCAACCCAACCGTTTTAGCCACGCGTTTCCCTCTTACTGGTCCGTACACATGACGCGCCTGTTAGCCGCCTCTTTTTTCATGTGCGCCGTCTGACGCCCTCGTTCTTCTAGGCGTATTGATTGCTTTTGCCGCCGTTTCTGTTTAATCAAAAACTTCTCCCCTTTTTTCCGTCTCTTCACTTTTTCATTCGAATCTCCTGCTATCTTTCTCTAGCTTTTGAAACCCTCCATTGCTCAAGCTTCCAAAGCTCTGCAACCTTCTTCGTCCACCTCTTCCGGCAAGATTTCCACCAGTCTTCTGCTCTTGCAACCGTCGTAGGACATCGGCAAATCCCTTTCCGACTTCCCTTTTTCTGGTAAGCTACTGTTCTTTTCATTTTCAATTCCCTCATGTTTCTTCTTTTTTTGCTGTCGCCATTACTGTACTGTTTCAAGCTTTTTTAATTCGTAAATCATACATCTGAATGCATTTATCCATGATTTTGCTTTTGCCCACATTTTGAACACACGCACTGTTTCATTACTTCTTTGCATTTTTGCCACTATTCTTGGTCATATACTCTTGTATTCTTCATGTTCTTGATAGCCCATCTCAGTTCTTGTTTCTGAAACTTCGTTTTTGTTTTCTATTTCTTGCATCTTTTCCAGATTCTTGCTTTCAATCCGTGTTTCCATAGATTTAGGTCTGGGATTTGTCTGTAGAACCCATAACTTAGGAAAAAACTGAAACCTGCACCTACCTTACTGTTTGCCGAGGTTCCAAAAACATCTTCTGAGACCCACCTTCCAAGATTAAGCCGATATCATGGGTATATGGAAACATAGGGTAAACACCCCCTCCAAACTAGAATACTTTAAACAGGAGTTTGACATCCCAGCCGACGTCCATTTAAGGTTGGTTGCGGATGATGACTCCAGCATGCCCACTGCCAACTCCATGCCTTTCCTCGTAGTCGCCTTTATTGAGTGTGGACTTCGGCTTCCACTAAACATTCTGTTTCGTGAGGTTCTCCATTACTATAAGCTGAACCCTATGCAACTGGCCATCAATTCTTACCAAGTGATCAATGGTATTATAGCCCTAGCTAAACAGGAAAACGCTAGTATCACCCTTGTCGACATCCAATATTGCTATACCATGTGTGGCCTTAACTTGAAAGAAAAAGACTACATTTATTACCTTAAGCCGAGGTCCACAGAATTCAAAATTGTAGCCGACCTCCCAGACTCCAACAAGGGAGCTGGTGACGATTATTTCATTACCTCGAGGAACTGAGAGTTCGCCCCAAATGAAGACCTCCATCTCTTCTCTTTCCGACGATCAATCTTTATAGACGGTAATGGTAAGAGCCTTACATTCATACTTGTTTTACTTTTAAAGTCTTGTATACTTTATCTGTTTCCTAATGTCTGCTTTGTCTTTGCTTTTGCAGTTCTTCCTCAGCCGCCAAAAAACTTTCGCCAATCCTTTGTTCCCAGCAAGGATTTAAAGAAATTATTGGACCTGCCAATTCAGAAGCAAAAGGCACCCCTGCTTTTCAACTTCATCCCAACATACAAATCAGCTCTCCCTGACGTCTCCAGGAAAAAGAATAAGAAGAGCTTATCTCCTCCCTCTGCTACAACTCTTCCAGTTACATCAACATCGTGAACAGACCAAAGATCAACCTCTGATCCAGCAGAACTGCCGTCGACCTCGCCTCCATACCTCATTCCACCATCCCAAAGAAAGCGTCGCCGACGTCTTGTTCTTACAGCCGAGATGGGTCACGCAAAGCCAGTTGCTAAAGACCTCCTAGCCAACATTTCATCATCCATTGACGAACAACCAACACAAACCCAACCTCCAGAAAAACCAAAAAGAATTAAGAAAGCTCAATCGAAGGCGAAAGTGACTCAAGTTGAGACTGAGGACACTTTGCCAGCCTCAAAACTGGCTCCAAGTCAGAAAACTGCCTCTGTCCCTTTGAAGAGGTCTGTCAAAGTACCTCCTTCCGAATCCTCTAAATCAAAAGGGCCGAGGTCATCTGCAACGGCTTCGGGTTCAAAGAAACCAGATGCCCCCTGGGCCCCTGAAATCACCCTAGAGGATAAGCCCGTAATGGCAAGTGACAGCGCCAACGATATCAATGTCGGCGTTGCATTCAGTACCGCTCTACTTCTCCCAGGTGACCTGGAGCGGAACGCCCAGTATAGCCAGTATGAGAACTATGCCTTAATGTTATAGCACTCCGTTCAGGTAAACGTCTTCTACTTGGTAAATTTTTCTCTCTCTTTATTTCACACTTTGAATATTCTTTAATACCTCTATTTTCTTTCAGGCCATCCAGCATGCCTACTCTTTCTCAATGCAGTCTTTTGAGAATAGGGAGAGGCTTGCCAAGATGAAAAGGGAGGTCTCCAGCCTCCAAAAGACCAACAAAGGCTTCTAGTCAAAAATGAAGAAGCTGGAAGACCAAGCTGAGGAAGCCATCAAGGCTCAGACCGAAGCCGAAGAAAAGGCTGAGGCTGCTGAGGCCATTAGGAAGGTGGCCGAATCGCAAAGGAGAGAGGCCGAGGAAAAAATGGCCCAAGCTGAAAAAGAGCTTCAAGAGGCCCTGGCCACCAAAGAAGCTGATATCAAAGACGCTGACGAAAAGGCGTACTCATAGAGTATGGCCGACGTTACTGAGGCCTATGAAAAACAAGTGAAGGAGGTATGCAACAAGGGTTTCACCCTTGGTTGGATGTCCCTTCTTAAAAAGCTTAATGTTCCTGATGACTTTCCATTGCGGAAGGCCGACGACATTCCCTTGCCATTTCCTCCAGCCCCAACTCCAAGTGAAGATGTCGGCAAATCTGATGGTGAGGATGAGGCCGAGGAGGAAGAGGACGAGGCTTTGATTAGAAAATCAAAAGATGCTGATGGGGCCAAGTCCCCTCCTCAAATGGACAATTTAACAAGTTGGTTAAACCGAAAAGTATTGCTTAACACTTGTTGAAATTTGTGGACAATTTACAAGTTAAGTTAAGCCGAGATCATTATTTAACACTTGTTAAAATTTGTGGACAATTTACAAGTTGTTAAACCGAAAAGTATTGCTTAACACTTGTTGAAATTTGTGACAATTTACAAGTTAAGTTAAACCGAGATTATTGTTTAACACTTGTTGAAATTTGTGGACAATTTACAAGTTGGTTAAACGAAAAGTATTGCTTAACGCTTGTTGAAATTTGTAGCAATTTACAAGTTGAAGTTAAGCCGAATAATTGTTTATCTTCACTTTGTTGAAATTTGTAGCAATTTACAAGTTGAAGTTAAGCCGAGATAATTGTTTTATCTTCACTTGTTGAAATTTGTAGCAATTTACAAGTTGAAGTTAAGTTGAG